GAATGGAACTGGAAGAGCACCCGGGTGTTGCCTCCATACTCCACCCGTTCTATCCTTATGCAGCACTTTATCGATACCTACGCGCCGCAGCGAAAGGCTGCACCGTAGTTCGCTGCGGACGGTTGGGCGTGTCAGTGCGGCTGCGTTTGGCGCGGTGCCAAACTCGTTCTCCACCAGTTGCTGCAAATGACAATACTGTATCATATCCTTCGTATTACTCGTTTTCCACCCACTTTTTGTCGCATGCGCGTTTCAACAAGAAGGCAGAGAACGGCTTTGACGGGGTGACACACTCATACTGGCTGACACGCCCAACCGTCCGCAGCGAACTAGAGTGTAGTCTTTCGCTGCGGGACGTAGGTATTGATAAAGTGCTGCATAAGGATAGCACGGGTGGAGTATGGAGGCAACACCCGGGTGCAGTACCCTCCAGTTCCATTCTCGCGCGTTTTTGAGCGGAGCAAGTAGCATGCAACTGGAGCTGGTCAATTCGCTTTACACATAGAGAGGACCGTGCTCGGAGGTGAACAGTCTGCCTTCAAAGTCTAGCTATTTTGGCTGCATCAGCAACTAGTGCTGCAAGTTATAAGTCGTGTCACAAAAGAAGGAAATCGCATAGGCATCATATGCCGTCGAATTTCAGGAGCACATTCACGGGTGAAGACTCACAAGCATGATATCACCACTGCTGACGCACCTCTTCTTCTTACCGGAAGAGAATGAGAACTAATCAGAAAAATACAATGGTTACGAGTCTAGTTGCGTAGGCCATCCAATGAGCAAGTCAGTGTTTTATCCTCACAGGTACAGTCCTCATCATTGCGGACCGGTGGGGCGTGTCAGCCAGTATGAGTGTGCACACTGTTGAAGCCGTTCTCAGCCTTTTTGTTGAAACGCGTATGCGACAAAAAGTGGTAGAAAACGAGTAATACGAAGGATATAATACAGTAATGTCACTTGCCCGCTTCAACAACTGGTGCAGAACGACTTTGGCACCGCGCCAAACGCAGCCGCACTGACACGCCCCACCGGTCAATGATGAGGACTGTAGATCCGGTGCCAATTTGCCGTCCCCGTATAATCCGAAGGCTTGGTTGGCCTGGACAGGAGACGACTTGGCGCCTGACACTGGGAGCCCTCGAGACAGTACCGGCATGTTAAATGTGCCACTTGCCGCTAAACCAGCCCCACGCCAACCTTTGAAGTAGCCTCCCAAACACTGTTGCAGTACACATCCAAATGTATCGGTGATTTAATCACCGTGATTCTGCTTGGACGACTGTGCCACATAGTCTTGAAGGCGATCTGATGGTGGGAAAATGGCCAGATTTCTCTGAACATGAACGGAGTGCTGTCTCGAGGGCTTCTGGTGCCGTATATGCACCTGTCATTCCACAATTGCTTATAAATGAGCATTTCTCGTCTATAGGAGCCCTACGAAGCACTACATC